TGGGGTTCATTCACGTTGTTGCATATATCAATAGTTCCTTGTTATGGCTGACTAGTATCCCATTGTCTGAATGTACTACAATATGTTTATCCATAAAAGAGTTGATGGGCATTTGGGTGGTTTCTAGTTTTTGGCTATTACAAGGAAAGCTTCTATGAACAATTGTGTACAAGTCTTTATTGGATGTATGTTTTCATTTCTCTTGGGTAAATACCTAGGAGTATAGGGAGTATAGGGAAATGTCTGTTAAACTCTTCAGCCCATTTTTTACTGGGTTGTTTGAGCCCTTATTATTGAATTTTGAGAGTTTGTCATAAGTCTTGGTATAAGACTGTATCTCAGCTTTGAATACTCTGTATATTGGATTGAGATGAAACTAAATCACGAATGCCTTTAGTTGCCTGGCAGAAGCACAGATAAATCTATGGAGGAACATAACACCGTCATAGGCAATATTTTTTCTAAACTAATTTTGCAAATACAGTCTCTAGCATAAATTAAAAGTATTCAGGCAAATACAGAGATAAGATAACAATAACAAAAAGAAAGGAACTAAACAGAAGAATTAAAACAGACTCGGAGGGCCCCAGTATAGGGATTATATGAGTCACATAGTTAAAATAATCATATTTCAGATGTTCAAGGAGATAAAACAAAAGATCGAGAATTGTTTTAGAGTAATGGAAATTATCAGAAATAATCCAATAAAAATTCTAAAGCTGAAAAATACAAGGAATGATAGCATAAAATAAACGGATAGGTATCACAGAAGATTCATCACAGCAGAAGATAAAATTAATAAACTGGAAAGTAGGTCAGGAGAAAATATCTAGAACGGAGCACAGAGAGGCAAAAAGATTAAAAATACAGAAGATAGGGGAAGAGACACAGAGGCTACAGGGAGAAGGTACATCATGCAATGGAGGACCAGGAGGAGATGAGAGAGAGAAAATGGAGCGGATACAATATTTAAAGAGATAATGATTGTCTTAGTCATCAAGTGCCGCTCTAACAGAAATACCACAAGTGGATGGCTCTAACAAAGAGAAATTTATTTTCTCACAGTCTAGTAGGCTACAAGTCCAAATTCAGGGTGTCAGCTCCTGGGGAAGGCTTTCTCTCTCTGTCAGCCTTCTCATCAATCTTCACTTGGTCTGGGAGCATCTCAGTGCAGGAACCTCAGGTCCAAAGGACACACTCTGCAGCTGGCGCTACTTTCTTGGTGGTATGAGGTCCCCAACTCCCTGCTTGCTTCCCTTTCCTTTTATCTCTTGTAAGATAAAAGGTGGTGCAGGCCACATCCCAGGGAAACTCCCTTTACATTGGATCAGGGATGTGACCTCAGTAAGGGTGTTATACAATGCCACCCTAATCCTCTTTAACATCCAATTACCATCACAAAATGGAGGACAACCACACAATACTGGGAATCATGGCCTGGCCAAATTGATACACACATTTTTGGGGGGACAATATTCAAACCATGACAGTGACTAACATTAAGTCACAGATTAATGAAGTCCTATGAACACAAGCAGGTTAAAAAGAAAGCAATGTATCCTAGGCAGATCACAGTAAAACTGTTGCAACCAAAGCCAAAGAGAACATC